CGAACAGATATCCGGATATTGGATATCCGGATATGTGGTTTTGGGATATCCGGATACTGGGTATCCGGATATGTGAATCTGTATATCCGGATATTGTATATCCGGATATGGACAGTGAGATATCCGGATATTGCATATGCGGATATGGTCCCGAGGAATATCCGGATATTCTGGGATTTCGCAGAACAGTAGCTGTGTTGTGTGTACAGTAGGCTATTGGGGGTTTGTGGACCCTAATTTGATGAAGTTGAACTTCTGTATTTAATGGACTAAGCCAGAATCATGGGATTGAGGGCTTGTAGCTTTGTTAGAAGCTTTAAGACTTGAAAACGTAATGAAAAGGCGTTGTCTTTAATTTGTATGCATGTGGTACATGTTTATTGATTTATATTTGGTCCATATCAGATTGTGATCTGCTGTGATTGGACTTTGATCTTGTGGCATTGGATAGCTAGCTTAGAGGTAAGCTTTCGTGTCCTCGGTTTAGCCATGTTGTGGTTCCACCATGTCCCATGGGGATATGGTATATGCATGCTGTGTTACATGCTTTTGATGTTTTGGAAATGCTGTTGGTGTTCCACCTATACGGTAAGCCTGAGAATGTAGAACATACAAGAGGGTGAGGCTGTGGGTGAGGTGCAAGCGGTGTTCCTTGTACTACATGTAGGGAATAGACGTATTCCTATATTTCTCTGGCCAGTAGATAGTGATTACACACATGCCATAGATATCTGTTGCACTACATAGTTTTGGAACTGATAATGATATAAATGCTTTTGAACTTATATTGCACATGTAAGTGAGCTTGGGGTGGAAGATCCTTGAGGACCCCTTGTCTTACTGAGATTTCTTGTTTAGAGATCTCACCCCACGTTTGGGGAATGCTTATTTCAGGGTCAGGTAATGTTGAGATCTCAGGCGGAAGGAGGCCGGAGCCGAGTTAGATTGCTGTTATATTATGCTGCCATGATTGGATGCTGGATTTGCATGCTGTTTATATGCTTATAGCTTCAGTGATGTTTATGGAGTTTTATGTTGAGACTGGTTGTTGACTATATTTATTTGGTGAGCATGGGGATTGTCCATGACACATAGTATTGTTATGTCTTGATTATGTCTTGAGTCTTTTGCAGTTGTAATAATGTATCAGGATATTGTCCGGATTACGTGATGTAATGCCGTGATTTAGATACACACTTTATTTATATATTGAGGTATTTCAGTAGATGTCTTATTGCAATTTATATACAGGCGTTATTTTATGAAATTGATTAAGTAATCAAGTTGGTAATTGATAATGACGTCATAATTGAAAAGAAAAAGAATATTTCGCATTTTTAATTAAGCACCGCTTAATACGATGTAATGTTAATATTCCGAGTATACGCGGGGTGTTACATTTTATGGTATCAGAGCAACGGTTCAAGGGAAAAGCCTGTATGTATTGCAATGATTAGGATGTTTGGTTGTGTCTGTTTTGTGTGTTTGCTCCGTCGAGTATTATTATGATAATGCATATGTGACCACATTGCGTGGGCCTGATCAACTCATAATTTGTGTAACTTGTGCAGAATCATGGTAAGACCCGGGAGAAACCGCGAGACTTCGGAGGATCGGCCCGATCTTGTCCTGGCTGCATTAGCTGAGATGCAGGCGGCCCGACTAGCCGACCAGGAGGCCATGAGAATGGCAAACCAGGCCATGCTGGACGCCGTCAGAGAGGCGAACAGGAAGGCCACTGAGGACGTGTTGGAGGCCAACCGTCTGGCGAACATGACGATGTTTAGAGTCATGTTGGAGGAGATGAGGAATGGCCCTGATGTTGGTCATGCTCCACCGCCACCCCCTCCACCGCCACCACCACCACCACCTCCACCCAGTCTGCAGGATGACTCTCAGAGTCAGATGGGAGATGGCAGTCATCTTACGGGGGCCATGCAGATCGTCCCTATTTTTGTTGAGGATCGAGATGAGATCGACCGCCGGCGAATGCTTTCCGTAAGCATAAGCCACCTGCCTTTGATGGATCCTTTGATCCTGTTGCTGCGGCACGTTGGCTTCAGGCGTTGGACAAGATTTTTCGGGTCATGCAGTGCACAGATCCGCAGAAGTTGATGTTCGCTACTTACATGCTGGAGGGCGATGCCCATGTGTGGTGGACAAACCTTGCTCATGTCTATGAGATGCAGGGTCATGTGATGACTTGGCCTATGTTCAAGGATTTCTTCTTGGGTCAGTACTTTCCATATGACGCTCAGGAGAGGCAACAGGGAGAGTTTGACAGATTGGTTCAGGGCTCGTTGTCTGTGGACGAGTACCTGGCCAAGTTCAACCAGTTGGTGAAGTTTGCACACTTCAGGATGGCGAGGCCTACTCCTACATTTCTGGCTGCTAAGTTCCGCAGGGGACTTAGTGAGGATATTGCTGGTTACCTAGCTGGTTTTGCTTCTAGAGATTTTGGGACACTGGTTCAGCAGTGTCGTGATATTGAAGATTACTACAGCTCGAGTAAGGCCAAGAAGGCCAAGGTTGCTGAGGCGACGAAGGTTGCAGCTGGTAGTTCCACTTCTTGGCGAGACAGGAAGTTCGGGAACAAGGACAAGGGTAAACAGATGGCAGCTCGGCAGGCGCCGAATCAGTTCAAGAGGACTTCTGCTCAAGGGAGTGTAGCGAGACCTCCTGCTCCCAGGTGTTCGGGATGCGGGAAGACTCATTTTGGGCCGTGCTCTACCGGCCAGTTGATTTGCTTTCAGTGTGGCAAGGAGGGCCACTTCTCCAGAGACTGTCCGTCGGCGACGGCGAGGGCCACTGCAGTGCGGGCAGTGCCACTTCAGATGGTTCCTCTTCCACCTACTTCGGCACCGGCAGTGCCACCATCTTCTGGGAGAGTTTATACTCTGGATCGTCAGCAGTCGGATCGAGCTCCGAACCTTGTCAGAGGTACTGTTATGATTGGTACATCAGCTGTTGATGTTTTGTTTGACTCTGGGGCTACGCATTCTTTTGTTGCTACCCCGATTGCTGTGAGGCTTAAGTTGTCCAGTGATGTGCTTTCTCCACCGATGCGGGTGACTACCGCCACCAGAGAAAGATGTGATGCTACCGCTGTTCATCGCGATGTGGCATTTCAGTGGGATGGCCGTGAGTTCTCGGTAGATTTGATAGGGTTGCCGATGGCCAACTTGGAGGTTATTCTGGGCATGGATTGGCTGTCCAGAAATTGTGTGATGATTGACTGTTGTGCCAAGCGTGTAGTGTTGTCTCAGTGTGATTCCATAGCCAGTTCCTCGCCGTACATTTCGTTGCTGCAGGCTAGGAGAGCCTTGAGAGCAGGGGCATTTGGTTATGTCATGTTGGGAGGTTTGGTGAGTGGTACACAGGAGGACATCGCCGGAATTCCTGTGGTGAGGGAATTCCTCGAGGTGTTTCCTGAGGAGATTCCTGAGTTTCCGCCACAGAGGGAGATAGAGTTCTCCATTGATCCGTTGCCTGGTGTGGGGCCGATTTCTTTAGCTCCATACCGGATGTCGCCACCGGAGTTGGCAGAGCTGAAGAAGCATATTGAAGATCTTTCAGCGAAAGATTTCATTAGACCGAGTGTGTCTCCTTGGGGAGAATCGGTTATTTTTGTGAAGAAGAAGGACGGGACAATGCGATTGTACACCGACTACAGGCAGCTGAACAAGGTGACAATCAAGAACAAGTATCCCTTTCCTCGGATTGATGATCTGTTGGATCAGCTCAGGGGTGCTTGTGTGTATTCCAAGATTGATCTCCCGTCCGGATACCATTAGATTTGGGTGAAGCCAGAGGATGTCTCGAAGACCGCAGGTAATGTTGAGACCTCAGGCGGCAGGAGGCCGGAGCTGAGTTAGATTGCTGTTATATTATGCTGCCATGATTGGATGCTGGATTTGCATGCTGTTTATATGCTTATGGCTTCAGTGATGTTTATGGAGTTTTATGTTGAGACTAGTTGTTGACTATGTTTATTTGGTGAGCATGGGGATTGTCCATGACACATAGTATTGTTATGTCTTGAGTCTTTTGGAGTTGTAATAATGTATCAAGATATTATCCGGATTACGTGATGTAATGTCGTGATTTAGATACACACTTTATTTATATATTGAGGTATTTCAGTAGATGTCTTATTGCAATTTATATACAGGCGTTATTTTATGAAATTGATTAAGTAATCAAGTTGGTAATTGATAATGACGTCATAATTGAAAAGAAAAAGAATATTTCGCATTTTTAATTAAGCACCGCTTAATACGATGTAATGTTAATATTCCGAGTATACACGGGGTGTTACAATAAACGTGTAACTTTTAAGGTAGGAACAAAAAAAAGAATATAATAATTTAAACACAGTAAATTCCATGGTTGACAGCAAAATCTCCATTAAAAAAATATAAATGTCATGTTGACAGCAATATAATAAGAAATATGCCCAACTGCCATGCACTATTGGTATTTGCTGCTGTTTGAAATGAATCATAAACAATATATAAACAATATTTGGAAAAGAAAAAATTATTGAAGGGAATTATATAGTTTAGGCAGATGAATAATTCAGAATTACAATGAAAAACCTTTGACTCTGAAAAATGACAAGAGAATAATATACTGATTGTGCCTCGAATACTGAATCTGCATAACAATAAAAAATTAGCAGAAAAATAGGCATAACAACTAAAGGAAATCAACAAAGAAGATTAAAAAATATTTTCTGATAAAAAATTGAGATCTTACCTGATACCAAACAACAATGTTATCTCTTTGTAGAAATAACCAAGTATGTTATGAACTATATCTTGTCTACTGCCATTTGGAATGACAGGTAATATTTGCCGAAAGTCACCTCCTAGAATGACAACTTTTCCACCAAAGGGCATATCAACACAGCTAAGAACATCTCTAAGTGTTCTATCAAGAGCCTCAAAGCAAAATTTGTGTACCATCGGTGCTTCATCCCAAATGATTAACTTTGTTTTTTACAACAACTCTGCCAAAGTAGAATTTTCTTTTATATTACATGTTGAATCTTCGGTGATCTGTATAGGAATACGAAATCTAGAATGTGCCGTACGTCCTCCAGGAAGAAGAAGTGAAGCAATTCCGCTAGAAGCAACATTACGCACTATTTCAGCTCGAGATCGAACAAATGCTGACAGGGTGTTCCAAATAAATGTTTTTCCAGTCCCACCAAAGCCGTACAGGAAAAAAAATCCTCCTTTACCTGCCGAAATAGCTGAAATTATTTTGTCATAAACAACCCTCTGCTCATTAGTGAGTGAATTCAGTAGCCTGTCATGCTCTTCTTTCAAAGAGAAACTGTCATGCAACAATTCATCCATCACCAATCTATTCTGCATATCCAATAAATTTTTTTAACCATTTCAAATTTCGAATTTTAGATCAGATGACGCATTCCAACATAAAAAGCAATTAAATCAGCTGATTTCTTTTTGGATACCAATGCGATGGGCAGTGGGACATTCAATGTCTTGTCTGCCACCACAAATGGTCATTTAATTATTCGATTTAAAGATTAAAATTCAATTTTTAAAAGAATTTCTTTTCCCACCATCCATATTTAAATTCAAAATTTTAAACCATTTCAAATTTTGAATTTCAGATCAGACGACCAATTTCAACATAAAAAGCAATTAAAACACTTGATTATCCAATTAAAATTTCGAATTTCAAAATCATATTTATTAATTAATTATTCTTTTATATCTTCCACCACAAACGGTCATTTAATTATTCAATTTAAAAATTAAAATTCGATTTTTAAAAGAAATTCTTTTCCCACCATCCAAATTAAATTCAAAATTTTAAACCATTTCAAATTTCGAATTTTAGATCAGATGACCAATTTCAACATAAAAAGCAATTAAAACAAATGATTTCTTTTTGGATACCAATGTGATGGGCAGTGGGTCATTCAATGCCTTGTCTGCCACCACAAATGATCATTAAATTATTCGATTTAAAAAATAAAAATTCGATTTTTAAATGAATTTTTTTTCCCACCATCCATATTTAAATTCAAAATTTTAAACCATTTCAAATTTCGAATTTTAGATCAGATGACGCATTCCAACATAAAAAACAATTAAATCAGCTGATTATACAATTAAAATTTCGAATTTTGAAACTTATTAAACAACTGATTATCCAATTACCGGATTAACCACATATTTATCATTCCAATAAAACAATTGAAAATATTGTGGAAAATAACTAATGACAAACAGATAAACTTGTATTCCAGAATATGCATAAACATTACTTTGTCTACAGGAACGCTCCTATTTGAAGTTAAACACGGAGGAAGTGATTACCAAAACACAGCAATAAAAAACTACAATTATATTGTTCAATCCCAAACAATCTCCAAAACAAAAAACAAAAAACTTTCAAGTGACGTTGTTCCAGCTTCCAAGTGACATTGTTCCAGCTACGCGTCTTTCAGAACAGCATCAAATCCAAACAGAAACAAAAAATAACGACATATTAACAGACACATCACACTCACGATTATAAATAAAAAAAAGCTACACAAAGAAAAAAAATAATGGGTAAGTACTCAACTCTTTCTCTAGCTTAATCTTCTTAGGAGGACGGACAACTGATGAATTAAAATCGTCTTGAAGGGGATCATTAGGATTCATTAACGGCGTCACCATTGATAGCGAAATATCACCAACGTCTGCACTATCACACGTCTGACTTTTCACATCCTTGTCAGAAACAAATATTGTTTGAAATTAACTTATGTTTTGCAATAAAATTGCATGCAACATTTTTTTGATTAATTCATAAGCAATAATTTTGAGATACCGTAGCTCTTTTCGGTTCTGCTGATGCAACGACACTGTCGCAAGCCTTCTCAAATAATCCTTCGTCCTGCATTTAAAACAAATATTTTGAAAAAAATCAAATCCATTGAAACGCAGAATGAGAACAGCAAAACCTAAATAGAAATAATAATGTTAATAAAAAAATAACTCACATTCGTATCCACAACAGTCTTAAGGAAGGATGTGATTACAGGTTCGCTTATACATACTTTAGAAATTATTTTTTTTCACATTCACTTTAAACAACATGGATTTATCAATAAGAACATTAAGTTCCTTACGATAGTGCTCAAAATCATCACCCTGCAAAAAAAATATTAATGAAATTTTAATAAGAACTTTAAATGAATAAAAAAATGAGTGGAATAAGAACACAAACCCTTTTGAAATGCTGCTCACGTAAATCCGCAGCACTCATGCCCAACAAAGCAACACAGTCTCTATCAAACAGAATGAAAGATGCAGAATCAGTGTGATCCACAACTCTCAACTGCACACAAAATCTGCAACACATGACCACCGATTGTGTTATTTATAAATAAAATGAACGATCTAATAATAACAACAACAAAAATAGATATAAAATCTTACTTTGGATAATAATCATCAAGTTTTTGGCAGTTTTTACAATACCATTTCTCGAAATCTTCATAAACAGAATATGGACATTTATTACAGGACTTGTACCACCATTTATATTTGCTCTCAATCGATTTTATGGTTCCATAAGTAATGCAAGTAGTAACCTCACTGCAATTCTTAACATCACTGATACACTTCCTTTCCGTCTCTTTCAGGAAATCATTCTCAAAAGAATACGAGGACTGACTTGATAACTGAGACAACGTGTAACCGCTATCAATGACATCTGACGAAAGCCTAAAAAACAACAACATTACAAATAATCAGCGATAAATAATAAAGAAAAGAGCAGAATAATGGAATAACAACAGCTCGCACCTTTTTTTGAAGTCGACAATCTCTGGTACACTGGGACCGATAATTATCCTCGTCGTATACTTTGTATTTGTTATTCCAATTTTTCCTTTAAAATTTATTATTAATTTCAAAACCATAAGGAGGGAAATAAACTAAAACATTCCATTATGAAATCATAATCAAATATTTATGTGAACTCACCCCTGAAACCCTTTATTCTAGCAAGATGAACTATCATCACGTTTGGAGGAGATTGATTACTCCCCAAAATTTGTTGCACCAGGTCCACGTAGTCCTCCCAGAGAGTGCACTCGAGCTTGTGACCCCTACTTGCACAGTTTTTGCAACAAATCACAAAATAGAATTTTACATCAAATGAACATAACACATAACAAATAACCAATAGATACCTGAGGTTATCAAGCTCCACGACAACCATTTTTGTCTTCCTACCGGAGATAATATGCTCACGAACTTCCCCTATTCCAGAAACTAAACCGATGACATCTACACATTAAGGGTGGTTAGACAGATGATATTGTCACATAAACAACAAAAGCATGACTTAGTGGACAGTTCAAAATCTACAAACCTACTAAATAAGGGGAATCAGAAGACTCTTTCTCTATAACGTCAAAATCTACAAAATCAAATCCATTGGTGGGAATAGCAGAATCAATAGTGGATTTTACATCAGTCCTCAAGTTGAAGGACAAAAGATAATCATGCTTAGTTGGCCTGAAACTCCCACTATTCAAACCAACTCCAAATTTTTTTATGAAATAAACTTCTCCTTCGTGAATTTTGTTACAGATATTTAAAGAACCCTTTATAGCAGCGTGGACCCTTCCACCCTACAAAACACATGCATAGATTAGTACATTTTAAAAACATGGACCGCAAACCAACAATAATATCAAAAACAAAACAAAAACAAATACCTTTTCATCTAACAGAATCATCTCTACGTTGTCGTCCAAATTTTTTTGCTGAAAATTAGGAACCTTCCATGTTCTAACAACTCTAGCCTTAATCCTCCACTCCTCTTTAGAAGGATTAAGATCCTTAATAAAATCATACTTGGAATACATAACCAAACGTATATCAGGTAATATTGGCTCAAAGCCTTTGAGGACAAAGAAAAGAACGAAATAGAGACGCTTCCAAATACCTATCTATACACGAATATGCACTATTCAATTTAAAAAATTAAAATTAGATTTTTAAAAGAAATTTTTTTCCCACCATCCATATTTAAATTCAAAATTTTAAACCATTTCAAATTTCGAATTTTAGATCATATAACGCATTCCAACATAAAAAGCAATTAAATCAGCTGATTTCTTTTTGGATACCAATGTGATGGGCAATGGGAAATTCAATGTCTTGTCTGCCACCACAAATGGTCATTTAATTATTCGATTTAAAGATTAAAATTTGATTTTTAAAAGAATTTCTTTTCCCACCATCCATATTTAAATTCAAAATTTTAAACCATTTAAAATTTTGAATTTCAGATCAGATGACCAATTCCAACATAAAAAGCAATTAAAACACTTGATTATCCAATTAAAATTTTGAATTTCAAAACCATATTTATTAATTAATTATTCTTTTATGTCTGCCACCACAAACGGTCATTTAATTATTCAATTACAAAATTAAAATTCGATTTTTAAAAGAAATTCTTTTCCCACCATCCATATTTAAATTCAAAATTTTAAACCATTTCAAATTTCGAATTTCAGATCAGACGACCAATTCCAACATAAAAAGCAATTAAAACACCTGATTATCTAATTTATTTTGTCTGTCAGCTCTCTTGATTCTTGATTGTTATGATATTTGAATCAATTATATAACAATATAACAAAGATAATGTCTTTGTTATATCATTATTGTGTATATATTTTTTTAAAAATAACCATAACGAAATTGTGAATTGAATGACGATCAGGTCTTCAACAATTGTGAAAGCTGTTTTTGTTTCTATTGATCTCCATGAATAGAGATCGTGAATTCATGTCCGTGAAAAGAGTTTTCTTTTATTAATTTAAAATTGTGAATTTCAGATTGTGCAAAATAAATACATAATTTCGAAATTTAATTGATAAACCATTTAAAAATTTCGAAAATTCAATTTTTAAAAGAATATTGGTATGATAGTTTATCTGATAGAGTTTTCTTTTTATTGAATTTAAAATTTCGAATTTCAGATTGTGCAAAATAAATACATAATTTCGAAATTTAATTGATAAACCATTTAAAATTTTGAAAATTCAATTTTTAAAAGAATATTGGTATGATAGTTTATCTTTTTTTGGAGTTACCCAACCCTAATTATCTGATATGATAGTTTTGGTTTTGGGATTTAATTTATTTTGTCTGTCAGCTCTCTTGATTCTTGATTGTTATGACATTTGAATCAAATATATAACAAAGATAATGTCTATATAACAAAGATAATGACTTTGTTATATCATTATTGTATATATATTTTTAAAAAAAATAACCATAACGAAATTGTGAATTGAATGACGATCAGGTCTTCAACAATTGTGAAATTTGTTTTTGTTTCTATTGATCTCCACGAATAGAGATCGTGAATGCATGTCCGTGAAAAGAGTTTTCTTTTTATTGAATTTAAAATTTCGAATTTCAGATTGTGCAAAATAAATACATAATTTTGAAATTTAATTGATAAACCATTTAAAATTTCGAATTTCAGATGAGATGACCAATTCCAACATAAAAAACAATTAAAACAGCTGATTTTTTTTTGGATACCAATGTGATGGGCAGTGGGACATTCAATGCCTTGTCTGCAACTATTATTCGATTTAAAAATTAAAATTCGATTTTTAAAAGAGTTTTTTTTTTCCAATTTACCCAATAAAGAAAGTTTGTATATAACCAAATTGTAGAATTAACCAGGGAGTGACACTTGGCAAAACTTTCCAGCAGTGAACTCTCCTTTATATATATAATAATATAGATTTGAAGGAAAACTTTGAGTTTGACTATGTTGCTGGAATCAAATGGGTCATGAGTATCTTAGGGAAAATATAGAAGGCCCATAAATTAGGCTAAGATCCTAATAAAAGTAGGAAGAAATACTTGCTAATTATCCTTTAGATTGGATTGTGTTGATTGGACTGCTTTTGTGCATCACTATAAGAGTGATAAAATGAAGGTAAGAATTTTTTTTACTGGAAATTATTTTACTTTATCCATGTCTTGGAAAACTTGGTAAATAATGACAATCATATTTGAAAATTATAGAAACAAAGTTTACAAAATACTCAAAATTGTAAAAAGCTTAAAGTCTCACATGCTAATGGTAGTAAGAGCATTGCTAGAAGAGCTCGTGAAATGGTAAAATCTTATTTTAGAAAATTAATTGTATTGCATGTGCATTTTATTTGTTCATTCATATTTTATTAATGATATTAGGATTTTATCTATTCTATTTTATTCCAATGGTCATGCCAGTAACGTCTCATTTCTTCTATTCTATTTTATTCTATTCGGATTATACCCTAATTTGGCTTGGCTCCTGGAAACAAGTATCAATTCATATGCACATTTTGGAACTCACTGCATGTTCTTAAAAGATGACATACAGACATAAAACTTTCAATATATCTTTTTTCTACTTACTCATTCTGAAATATTAAAATACAACCTTTATGGACAAATTTATGTTTGGTTTTTTTTTTTTGTGCTTTCTAGTTTTCATTAATTATTAATAATTAATTGTAGCTTTTATGCGATTCAGCATATAGAAAGTTATGAATTGATGTAAGATTGTTTTTAATTTACTCTACTATCTCCCATTCTATATAATATTATACACAAGTGCATATATAAATATAGGATTCTTCAAACTTGCATATATTGTACTATAAATATTTTAGTAATGTATTGCATGTGCATTTTATTTGTTCATTCATATTTTATTAATGATATTAGGAGTTACAATTGGGAAGACCCGTGTGTTGAAATGAGATTATTTTATCGACTTTAATGAAGAAGGATCGAAACTACATAAATGAAGAAGGAAAGAGTTTGGCGGTAAGTAAATGAAGAATGAAAAATATGTGACATCATTATTATTCATATTTAGGTTTTTCTTTTATTTGATGACTTTTTGCTAATTGTTTCATAGGACAAGATATCAGAGCACTTCTCTCAAGATCAAGACTGTGCTGCCACTTTAGGTGTTCCATCAAAGGTAAATGTTTATCCTGATGATGGTATTGAAAAAGTATATGGAGCTGAGCATTCTGGCCGAGTCTGTGGTTTTGGCAATGATATTTGTTCTTCCAATGTATTTGGAATGTCTAGGCGTTTTACTGGTTTTGTCATATTGGTGGCTCTAATCAACAATGTGTTGAGGACTTGAAAAAACAAGTAAAATCTTTAGAAGTGAAGTTGGATGGATATGAAGAATGAAGGTTGGATATGAACAGAATAAGGAACAACTTGTACAAACTCAAAAACAAATGGCTACTCTTCACAAAATTCTACTAGATAAATTTAGCAGTGAGTTACCCATTTTCACCCTCTTTGTTATAATTGGTTAGAAACTTAGAATATACATGAATTGATGTTTATAAATTGATTTATCCTTTAGGATTAATAGTTTATTATTAATCCCCATTCTCCTATTTCTACAAGTTAAGATTTATTATTTTGAGGCACTGTTCAGTTCAATCTAGTTGTGTAAACTCCTTGTAGTGATCCATTGCCTCGTGTGCATGTGTGTGTATTATAGAACTTGAATATTTTGAAAGGTAATTATGCTGATTTTGATGAATGGCATGTAATTCAAACAAACGAGAACCCACAATGGGAGAAATTATAATGGTTACTCTCATTACAAATTTGTTTAATTTATATATACACTCTTATATTATTGTCAATACTTGGAGAGTTGTTATCCTTGTAGCTTAGTTCAGAGCTTGAATTCTATTTATTCTGCTACTTGGCAAGTATGTTGTACTGATATATATAATTTGAGCATATTGTATAAAATGGGTCGTAATCATACCAAGTGATGTTAAGTAGATTGATTCATTTCATTTTGATTGTTACTTTGGTATATGAATTTTTATATACATTCTATTATTAAGAAGAACCCACATATTATATGATGTATTGTTTGAGTGAAAAGATGTGTTAGGACATTGAAGTTGTATATTTGGTGTTCATATAGCGTTTTCACCTATTGTTGCGTGAGAAATGCAATACAACACGCAAATCCTCCAAATATAGGATAATCTTCGTAAAGTGTGGAAATTAGTTTTTCTTTGATATTTGATTAGTCTACTCTAGTAAATTTCATGTTGTATCCAGGTAGAGAATATAGCTACCATAGAGTGGGATCAAATTTGTGGTAATTCACATTTAAGTGTGATTTAATTTTCTATTATTTGCAAATTTTGGGTGTTCGACTTGGCAGTACTATTATTGGTTTTATTATTGCTTGCGGTTGAATTGTAATAACAGATCTCAAGACTTTCATTTAATCTATGCTTAGTAGAAAATATATTATACTGCGATATTATTTGTCATATATTGAAACTTGAGTTTTCACTTTTAGTTAGAAATAAAGCTAATTATTTCTCAAATTTTGTTACTGTATGTGATAGTGTGTTGTTATTATCCCGGTATTGATGTAAAGACATTTGCTTGAGTAGACAAAAAATTTACTTGGGCAAAGTATTTTAACTCTCATTATTGTTAAGGAGAATTATTGAGGCAAGTAAACCTTTACTTTTCCTTTCTCCTACTTCAAATATTTAAAAGTTTTAGATAATTTAAGAAACCCATAAATCAGAAATCAAAATTATCCACAGTAACTATTTTTATTCACTTGAAGGCTTCTTCACATGTTTTTTTTTTTTTTTTTTTTTTTTTTTTTTTTTTTTGCATTTTGTCTTTTAACTAATTATTTATATTTATTTTCTATTGCTTACTAATTTATCGTTTGATGGTTTACTTTTGAATAGGTGGGCCTAAAGGTTTATGCTTCTCCTCTTAACAGAATTAATGCTTTTAAGGTTTGTTCATATTTTATCTAAAAAAT